AACGAAAGAAAATCAAATTTTTTTTTTTTAAAAAAGCTCATACAACCGAAGTAACGAAACTCTAGGCTAACAAAATTTTTACATTTTAAAAGTGGGTGGGGCAAAACGGGGCTAAAAAAAAGTTAAAAAGCAGCAATTATTTGTTAATTGTAAAGCTTTAAAAGTGATGAAAAAAAAGGCTGTCTATCATTTAAATATGTTCAGACATTAAATTCTCAAAAAAGTAACATACCCATATAAATTACACGCCCATACACCTATACACCACAAAAAAAAAACAACAAAAAAACAACAAAAAAAACTTTTTGTGTTTTATTAAAAAAAATTTCAGCTCTACCCTAACGTATATATTTTTAAATTGGTAGCTACTACTCAATTGGTAGCTACTACTCAATTTAAAATTAAACAAAAAATATCATGGATCACATAAATCGCACAAAAAATATCCTGAAACCTATTAGCAATATGCCATATGTATCAGCAGCTTTTGTAGTTCTAAGCAGGCCCGTAGGAACAAAAATTATAACGAGAGGGGGGGGGCAATACCACTGGGCAGGTGAAATAGTAGTCGGTCAAAAGTTTTTGTCAAAGGAACTTACGCCGAAAATACGGATAACAAGTTAGGTTCTTTCTATCCTTTTTCTTCTTTTATTTCTTAATTTGCAATCGTTTGCTTTTTTCTAAAAACTTCAAAATTATTTATTTGAAAAATTATTGGGGTGGGTGGGGGAATGTCCCTGTGCCCCCCCCCCCCCGTTCTACGGGCCTGCCAATTTACTTTTTACTCAAAGCTAAAACTGCATTTCATTCCATTTTGGATAATTAATCTTTTTTGTATAATTTCTTACCGTCGTTACCAAGTTATAAAATCAACAATTTCTTTGAACTTTCTATTAATATTGCTTTTCTAAATAATGAAAAAAATATATTTTAAGTAAAAAAAAAAAATCATCAAACTGTAAACAGCTTTACGAAATGGTAATAATATTATATCAAGAATTTATTATTCCGATATGCCCCATAAAAGTCATTTAACTGAAATTAATACTATTCAAAAAGTTCAATTCCAAATATTTTTTAAAACCAGATTCTTAAAGAGGATAAAAAATACTGTCTGAAAAACTGTTTTTTGGTCCAAGGTAAGATAGAGATTTCAATCCATATTTTGTTGTACGAATATTGATGGAGTTTGATCTTTCAAGGTGAGTTTCCACTCATCCGTTTTTCTACGGGAAAAGGGAAAGGAAACGGAAAAATAATCACGTGAGCATGCGCAGTTTGTATACATTTTGTATACATTTTGATTAGTGTAAATAGCAAAATATAGTTGGAAACATTGTGAGATTATGCGGATTTTTTTATAGTTAACTTATAAAAGAGAAGTTGATAAATAAAAAAATTCAAGTTTTACATGCCTTTAGTTATGGTTTATACAAATAAAAATATTTTTTGTATAACCTCATAAAACTTTTCTTACTTAAGCCTTAGGGTAGAGCGGGGCATATAAGGACACTTAAGAAACAAATGCTAGCTGTGGATAAACTAATCATAGTTAACACTGTTTTTTAAAAATTTTCTAAAAATCATTGATTTAAGGAAACGAAAAAATAAAAACAAAATTTCCAGAAATAAGCTACAACAACAAAACACTAGACTAGCAAAAATTTTACATTTAGCAAGTGGGTGGGGCAAAACGAGACAGTAAAAAAGTAATTGTAATTCGTTAATTGTAAGCTTTAAAATAGTAGAAATATAGTAAATTATATAAATAACTTATTGTCACGATATGCCCACAAAAGTCATTTTACTGAAATTAATACTATTCTTAAGTTCAATTCCTTTTTTTAAAGCCAGATTCTAAAAGGGGATAAAAAAATAATGTCTGAAAAATATCAACTTTTTATAAATAATGCAAATTAGCAATATTCAAGATAAATCTTTTGTCGTTGTATCGCTTAAGAAAATACGCAAATTTTGTTTTTCGCAAACTTACTAATGCATTATGGCATTTTTAATGGATTTTGGTATTTCTAAAATCAAACTTTTTTTACAATATTTATGCACAATAATTTAAAATGTTTTATCAAAAAAAAATTTGAAAAAAAGACATCCCGTTATGACCCACTGTTCTAATATGCCCTGCTCTATCCTAAATAGTCGATATTAGCACAATAATAAATTCATTAGATTTGAAATTTTTTTAAAAAAGTTCAATTTTTATCTTGTTTTAATAATTCAAACACTACAATAACTTGATGTTTTCTGAGAAGTAAGGATACACTAGAAACTAAACTTTATGCAATCAAATATAAAAGAAAGATTAAAAATTACAACTCAATTTGTTTTTGTATAGTAGGGTGGATCGATTTTCATAGCAAAAAAAAAAAGTTTAAAAATCAGTATTCCTGAAAGACAAATTGATGTCTATTTATTATAAGATGAAAGTAAAAAAATATTTTTTGATTTTGATGAGATCTTGAGGTTCCTCTTTAAATTCTAAATCGTTGACGGATCCTAATATTTTTGAATTTTTTTTTCTACGCTTTATCAACCTTGAACTCAAAAAAAGCAGAAAAAAATGCTTGTTTTATCAATAACAATTTTATTAAAAAAAATTTTTTTAGTGAAAAAAATATTTTGAAAAATATACCATAAAACCCCCGTTTTGGATAAAGACGGGGGGTTTTCATGAAAAAACGACATTATTTTTTTCTCTTTAATTTTGAATTAAAACAAATATTTTATTCAAAATAAGCGTATTATTCTGCTTCTTTTGAGTACCAGGTTGATATAGTTTAGAAGAAAAAAAAATTCAACAATATTAGGATCCGTCATAAATTTAGAATCGAAAGAGGAACCTCTAAAACTCATTAAAGTTAAAAAAAAAAAAGGTTCAAAAGACATCGATTCGCAGCTCTGGCAAATCAAAATTCAAAAATTTTTAAAATCGATCCAAAACAAAACATTAACTATTCCGCATATATTTAAAAAAAATGTTTTTTTGCTTTCAAATATTCAAATTATAAATATTCCTATTATAGTTAGCCATAATTTAAACTATTTAAAGCATAACAAGCAAATGTAATGAATTTATAGCCGCAATATCTGGCTAAATGTATTTCAAAGTTTGGCTGAGCATCATTTTAAAAACATAAAGTAAAAAAACCAACAATTAAAGTTGCGGTTTTATAATTGAATTTTGGATTTTTGTGTATTTTATAAATGTAAATAAATATAAAGTGTATTAAATAACAAACAACAAACATATGGTTCGTAATATTTTAATTTTAGTTTTTTTTTTTCCATGTGTTCGTATTTTTTACAATTAACATTTAATTTTATTAACAACTTATTAGGAAGTTTGAAAAAAAAAAAGAAAAAGATTATTAGGAAGTTTGAAAAAAATAGAAAAGATAAACATCTGTTGGTACCAACTTTTACTGTACTTTTATGCAACTATGTAACGTACTTTAACCAACCAGTTTTTCTGTAAAACATTTATGTAACAATAGTTACGTGAAACTTTTTATGGTTTTTCCCATGGTACACATTATTTTGCTGAAAAAAAATAAGTCGATTGTTTAAACAGTTTTCTTTGAGTTTTTAAGCCGTATATATTACGCATTATATAATTATAAATATAGTTATTTAAGAATATATTTTTATGAAGATTTTTTTATTTTTAAGAAGATTTGTTAATATTTTTTATTAAAAATCGTTTCAAAATGCTGCATGTTGACTTCGTCTGCTACTCTTAATGTTTTACGATTTTTTAAAAATGTTGCTTTTATCTGTTTACTTTTTAACTAAAAAAGCTTTTTTTTAAATAACACTGGTTTGATGTAAAATATATTCTTGCGTTAATTGCGTTAATATTATACGTTTTTCGTTAACAAAAAACATGCTCAAAACATTTCTTGTTTATTTGCGTAATCTGTTTATTCGTGTAATCTTTTTCCATTGTATTAACCGCTTACTAACAATAGTGGAAACTTCTAAAAAACTAACGTGGCGATCTTTACTGCTTGAGTTCTACAAACTAAATTTTGAACGTCGATACTCAAAAAAAAAAAAAAAATCTTACCTTCAATAAAATGAATAAACAAACATGCGATCGATGAGTTTGCTTATTCAAACTTATATTACGAAACAATTCCTTCCTCTACTGTTGACAATAGTTTGAAAGAAAGATGACATCTTTAAAAATAATTTGCCGGAAAACATACAAAAATAATTGTTAAAAAATCTTGATTTAAATTCATTACAATTTTTAGAATGTTAATGTAAAAACACTCATTTGTAATAATAGATTTTATTTGCATTATTTAAAAAAAATTAAACACTTACAAAATGTCTAGCAAAGTCGCTAGGTAAGTTTACATTTAATTTTTTATTATTATTATTATTATTATTATTATTATTATTATTTAAAGTTTAATAGGAACTAGCATTCAACGTATTTTGATTTTAGATAATATATGTATATTATTATTTTTATATTTTAAAAGTTTTATCATTTAACTGTTAAATAAAAAAATGAATCTCGATTATCGTGGATTTAAAATGGTTTAATCCCAATCTTTGAATAGAAAGCCGTTACTTTAGTAATTGATTTGATTGGTTTAGCGACAACAGTTATGATAACATCGGAAATAAAGTGTTATTATTGAGTTTTTTAGTAATATATATATATAAAAAATTAAGTCATTGATAGATTAGATGAAGTTTTACAAATAAAATTAAATCAAACTGTTTAAAAGGTTATAATATCTTGCTGTGAAGTTACTTATGTTTTCTATTTAAAATTATTTTCAAATAATCTAGTAGGAAAAAAATCTCAGTTGATTACTAATACCCTCATATTTAAATTACTTTTTTAACTAATGTCTAGTGTTATAACTTATTACAATAAAATACTATAGAGTTGTTCGTGAAAAAAAGAAGCAATTAGTCGGGTGATATTCAATCATAAAGTACTTATATTTTTACCAACTCTTTAGAAATTCTAGAATGCCAGATTGCTCGCGCAATGTTGATGTCTCTCGATTGAGTCACGACGAATGCAGTCACATAATTAATGTAATTGGAAAAGATATTAAAATTAGAAAAACAGAAGCTGAACGAATTAGGTAAGTAACATTACTGGTTATGATATAATAAATATCTATAGCAACACTCTTAATGTATCTATAGCAATAAGTATCTATAGCAACACTCATAAGTAGGGTTCGACAAGTTACTTACCGGTAATGTTACTGACCGGTAAGTTACCGGTAATCTACCGGTAACTTACCGGTCAGTAACATTACCGGTCAGTAACATTACCGGCTTAAATGAAATTTGCGCGAGTGTATTGATAATAACTATAAATTCTCACATTCTATCAATAATATTTTTTTTTAAGTTACTTTTTTAAATCAAAATTACCCAATGTTACCATAAATTACACTCAAGTTACTTTAAGTTAAACTCAAGTTACCTCAAGTTACCCTCAAGTTACCGCAGTTACCGGTAACTAAAAGTAACTGTTTTGCAAGTTACCGAAATCGTCGAACCCTACTCATAAGTCAGGAGATGCGAATAAATTTCTTTTTTTAGACCAATAGTCTCTTTTTAACTGAAAGTTTAAATTTTATTTCCAAAGTAATAAGAATTGAACATAGTTTACTCCTAGACCTTTGTTGCCAATAGTTTTTATCGTCCTATATGTATCTACATAAAATTAAACCTCCTCAATTAAAATTTTAATCGACATAATCTTTAAAAAGACATAATTCTGCTAATATCAGTTATTGTTGCTTAGCAGTAGCGTGTCTAATTTTCTACAATAATTGGTTATTGAGATTGGTAGCAAAATTCTCTAACAATTTTGGAGTGTAAAATACATGCGCAAAAAAAAGAGAATTTATCATATTAAATATTTATAAAAATATTAAATATGATAAAATATAATATAAATAAAATACCATAAATATTTTGTCAATAATCACCTGTGGCGTAACCATATGTGATTATCGGCAAAATTTGCAATTAGCTTACAATTTATTTAAAAAAACAAAAAAATTTTTAACTTTTTGTTTTATAAATATATTTTATTACTACAATCTCTTATGTACACGGTATGATTACCAGTGTTATGAAAAAGTTTTCAAAACCAGTTCCGGCGACTGATCTCTATAATAACAGGATGCCGCATCTCTAATACTGAAGTTGAAGCCAAATATTTTTTGGCAGGATGTCCCATAATTCTATTAAAACGTGTGATTAGAGAAACTAGAATTTTCAAAATGCAGTAAGAAAAAATAAAATAAATTGACAGAAATAAATCGAAACAATCAAAGAAGTAACATTTAAAAATAGTAAAAAAGTATGTTTTATATATATATATATATATATATATATATATATATATATATATATATATATATATATATATATATATATATATATATATATATATATATATATATATATATATATATATATATATATATATATATATCAATATGTATATATATACATTTATGTGGTGTACTTTGTATAAATCTATACAACTATAGATTTATAGTAACGTTTTAGCTTGCTAAAAAGCTATGATATATAGTTACAAATATTGTTTTAAAAAATACGTACATATCGCTATTGCAACTGCCAAATATGGCTATAGTCATGATGTAGAGTCAACGGTCTCAGAGTAATGCTGTTCCTTTGCCCAGACAATTTTTAAATTACCTCAGTCAAAGCATGCATTTTAAAGCTTGTTTCATTGTTCATCAAATTGATTGCCAAGTTGAACTCTCTCACTCATGATTTTTTTTTGCATTTATTTAAATATATTCATTAGTAAACACGATTTAAGTTTTCAGAAAAAACTGAACTAAGTGCTATGTATGTAAATTTTCAAAATCAAAACTTATAACTTTTTGCTTTTTTTTCCCCAAAATTTTATTAAAGTCAGCCATTAAAGTAGCCAGAACAAGTTATTAACATAATATGAATTAATATATTAATTTTATTAACAAAAAACACATTTAACAAATACATTGATAACAAAAGTTATATAAATGTTATTGATCGTTTAAATCAAATTTCACTACAGAAGATTTTAGCTTTTCTCTATAATTTTTGTGTCTTATGGTTCTTTTATAGTTTACACAAGTTTTTTTTATAAATTTGTGAGAATTTATAAAAAAACAGCTACACCGTATTGTTCTGCCTAGTTTTCTAAGATAGCATTACTGTTTTTAACAAAGGAAAGAATGTAGAACACACTAAAATATGTATTTTCCATGAAACTTTCAAATCATAGTCAAAAATATTTTGCATATAGGCTCAAAAATTAAGTCTTCATTTCTAACAGAAATATCTGTACACATATTTAAATAAAACACTGATTTCACTAATGAAAACTTATGCAAATAATTAGTTATCGGTAAAATATCAATTAATTAATAATTTACCGTTAATTGTTGATAAAAATTGTTGTAGTTAAGGTAAAACCCTCTCTAAAACATCAAACAGGGACATAAATCTATTAGCATTTTTTCCATCTAAACCTACTCCATGGTACCACTCATTAGTATTGTAATATGTTTTCAACCAGTTTTCTCTCTCATCATAATGTGGACCTCAGGTTGAGGAACAATGTATTTCTTCCAAGTATATTAAACAAGGATTTACAAAACTTTGTATTCCTGTATTTTTAATTTTTTTTTCTCCATCACATAGGGGAGAAGTGGGACAGTCTGAAATTTCTAATTAGGAGAAGTGCCTAGATACTGTTATTTAATGTAAACAGTTAAATTTCTTCCCCTCTATTTAGCCGCAATTACTTTGTTTTCCTGCGTGCTCTAGAGGCTCTAATTTTGAAATGTACTTTAAAAAAGTGTTTACATTGGGTTGAAGTGGGACAGAAAAAATAAATATTTATGCTCCGCTTCTTTCCGTCGCCATTTGATAATTTAGGTGAAAGCTCTTGAACATTTTTATGTTGATTAGGTGTTTTATGATTTTATCAGTTTCTATTTAATAATTTGTGTTAAAATGTTGTTTTAAACTTATTTGTCTCACTTCTACTCGCACTTGTCCCACTTTACCCAAATGGCACGGTTTCTCTAAAAGCAAAAAATTATATTATTAGTTATAATTGGCTGGAAACCTAAGGAAATTGAATCGGTGTCTAAAAAAAAGGTTTATTCGTAAAAACTTGTTTGGTTCAGTTTATACATCAAATAAAAAAGATATTACAATTACCTTAAAAAAAAAGTTACGTGTCTCACTTCTCTCCACCTTCCCTTACATGCTCATAAAAAATAAAAAAAGATCATAACACAAGTCTATGCACCCCAGTATTCTTAGTTTCCCGGCTTTGAGGGAGCATTTTCCTTCACAATACAGACAAGCATATTTTCCAGAATGACTTAAAAATCTAAAAACACTGTTTTCATACTTTAGATCAAATGCCAAACTAAAATTGAATCTTCAGAAACCTCACACAATGGCAAAAGTATAACAACGATTCACATCAACTTCAACAAACTTCATATATTTCTGATGAAGAATAATGATTTTTTGGATCAAAAACATTAATGATAAGAAGCAACAAAACATTAATGACTTTTAAGGAGTTTTGACCACCATCTATAGAGATTTTATCTATAGATGGTATAAGGATATCAATACCTTTTTCCTAAATTTGATAAATTCAGTTGTATTCTTGACATAAACTACATATTTATCAAATATCTGATTACCTTCAAAGAGTTCTTTTAATTCATATAAAGTATCTAGAGTATTCTGTAATTCTGTCATTCTAATATTAATGTTTTACACCAATTAGATACTTGCGTAAAGTAAAGCAATATTAAGTTCTGTTCTTAGAGAGTTCTAATACACTTGATAGTTCCATTATAGTTTAGAATGATATTTGATTTATTTTGGACTTATTTTGATTTACTCCAACTGTAATACAAAGAAGATTTTCGCCTGTAGACAACATGAACTGCTTCCCATTGAGCACGTGTCGTCCTGGGACATCCGTCAGTCGTCTAACGGACGTCTAGACGTCTGTAAGACGTTTGTCGGACGTCCCCCGGACGACGCATGCCCACTGGGTTTCCACTTACAATGTTTTCACGTTTTAACAATCCAAATGCAACTTGCTCTGCATTTTTATTTCAAAGTGATGTAAAAGGAACTGTTTACTCTGTATTTTTATATTCAAGTGATTCACTTATATTTATGATAATGTTTACAGCTTTACTTTTGCAACAATCTTAAGAAACTTCTTAAAATAAATAGTGAGAAGTTTAAAACTATTTTAAAATTTGAAATTACATAAAAAATAATACATAGAATCAAACTGTAATGTAAAATAAATAAAATCATACTTCGATTAATCTTATTTGAATTATTCACTTTGTAACGACATCACAATGGAGGAAGTGTTTGTTAACGACATCACAATGAAGGAAGTGTTTGTTAAACTATTATTGTACCTATTACTTTTTCATTTTATTGTTGTATTATTGTAGTTTACTGTCTTTATTATTTCTTTGTCTTAATATTTTTTTTTTTTATTAATGTGTCACTCTATTGACTGTCACTCCATTAATTTTTAACATTATGAGTGACACCAAACCAAATTTTGTAAATTTAGAATTAAATTTTTAATTTTATGGTTAAATAAATAAATTACAAAAAAAAAAAATTATAAAATCATAATAGTAATATTCAAATAGAAGAGCCCAAAGATTTTTTCAGACACAATTAAAAAATTTATATATATATATATATATATATATATATATATATATATATATATATATATATATGTATATATATATATATATATATATATATATATATATATATATATATATATATATATATATATATATATATATATATATATACATATATACATATAGATATATATAGATATATATATAATTTTAAAATGTATTCTCAAAAAAGAGTGCTCCATCAGTGACATATCTGTTTATGACCAACTAAGATCTTAAATAAAAAAAAGGTCGTCTTCGGCCGACATTTGCTGACTGCTAACTATAGATTTTTCGAGAACAGTGTCCAATTTGCCAATTTATAAGTTTCGTAGGGGGCCTAGACTCAAGTCTTGCTTTAAAAGAATTTAAAGACCGTGCATTCACCACGTGGATTGGTAATGCATTCCATTCATACGCAATAAAGTTACTAAAGAACGCTTGTTGAGACGAAGAATGTTTTAGATTTACTTTTTCAATTCTTAGATTATGACCTCTTATTGCAATAGGTTTTGGCCACTTATTACGGGGCCCTGGGGCAAAATTAAGTTGTGAAGCTCTAAAATCTAAATTTCATATACACAATCCCGTTGCAAACATAATTGCATAGACGTTTTGACATTTAGCAAGTATTTAAGACGGACCCTTAATCATTGGGGCATGGAAATAAATTGTCCCGTCGTCGAAGTAACCTTGCTCTCATATTGCTTTGTTCCATTATTATTTAAATGATATGATGTTAAAAAATAAAAAGCGAGTAAAAACTATTAATCATAATTTACTTCAGAAAAAAAATTTACCCCCATAATTCGACTTAATAAACCTTTAGTCAACTTAGTTGATCTCAAAAACGTATTCGTCGATTTCTGTCGACTTATACTAGCCGGTTTAGTCAAAAGTCGAACTATTTAAAAGTTGTAACCACACTAATTTTGATAATAACGCGTAGAGCCAAATGACGCGCAAATAGATGCGAGGCTCTCTCTACAGCCGCATATTTGCTGTGTATCTGACACTAATTAAAACCTTACTTAAAACAATTTTTTGATGTTTGAGATTTGTTTTTCGTAAACTTTTAAAATCTTTGTGCATGCTTTTGTTAAAACAATCCTATTTTTGTATGCTGTTGTCAATTAAAGATATTTTGCTTTTTTTTGTTGCAAAGATCTGGAGCCTATAAGAAAAACTTAAGACTTTGACCCTGTTACTTCAACATTGACGGAAATTATTTGATATTTTAAATTTGCCACTAAATTTCTTGACGGACCTTAAATTTCATTTATTAATTTAATTTTAATAATTTTAGTTTGATAGTCTTTTATGGCTCGAAAATTTTGATCATCTAAAATTTATAACCCCTCTAACTGATAATGTTATGACTCGTTTTAAAATCTCATGAAAACTTTATTTAATGGTTTAGATGTTTTTTAAAACTTTTAAACGCGGATGAAACTCCAAACTTTTCTACCTTAAGGTTATAATGTTTTATCTTAAAGGTTATAAATTTCTACCTCAAGAGGTAGGATAGTTGATAACCTGTAAGGTTATTTCCACATTTTTTTCAGTGTTCGTGCATTTGTCTGTTAAGATTTTTATTTAAGATAATTATTTAAACTTTGCAGTTTCAATAATTCTGTAATAATAAAAAATAAGATTAAAAGTAGTAACAAATTTTAGAAATTTATAAACTATGATTTATCTTACCTTTTATATATAATAGGCGAACTTGTTAACTTCGTTTGCTTAATACAATTTAAGCTGCTGGAATCAAAATTCCATTGAAGTCCAATGTAAAAAAATGAAAATATTTTTAATTATATAAATTAAGTAATCAGTGGGGTTAAAAGATTATTATATTAGTCGTGTTATATAATTTATTTTTGTTCTAAAAACATTTTTGGTTTTTCTTGTATAGCGAATTGAACAAAAACTTAGAAGATTTCCGACGTTCAATACTTTTAGCCAACATAAATCGAAAAAAGCGTTTTCCGTATGACGATTTTTGTTTATGCGGTAAGCATATGTTTACATTTTGTTGCTTTATAACTGGGGAAGAGTGTGCATCATGCGAAAATTATTGCTGCAGTAAATGCAGGGAAACGATAGTTTATAAAGGAGAAGATGGAATAGAAGAATTTTATATTTGTTATTTATGCTGCAAGAAGAGGTAAATTTTGCTACCTATTTGTTTCATTTGTTTTTAGTTTTATATAATGAATAGTTTTTATAGATGCGTGTTCGGGGGTATCAAACCGTTAATAAATTCATTTTTTTAATGAAAAACTTTTTTATAAAATGAAGGAATAGTATAGTTATTATTAAAAAGTATCAAAAACTTAAAACCTGAAAACTATTGGTTAGGCTAAAGGCGAAAATTAACACGAGCATGTCATATTTGGATTTATTTCATTTTGGTTTTGTCTCTCTGTGTCAGGTTATGTCAGGTCATGATAGTGTCAACCGGTGCGGCCCGCACTCCTAGCACACACTTAGTGACGCCACTGGGCACAAGACCTAAAAATAACTTTTGAACGTTCAAAAAAGGTATTTTTTACGTCCCGTGCCCACTGGGGAGTGTTTTTTTAATAAAATTAATAATTTTTATATAAAAAAAGTGCTTTTAATTTGCTCCCAGACTACCGCCAAGTATGAAAGGTATAAATTTGAGTTTAAAGGGGATGATGGTTTAAAGAAGCGTATTATCAAAATAAGTTCATTCTTACAAATAAAACCAAAAAAATTCACAAATATTTTAAAATATGATTCTATAAAGGGAAGCGAATGGAAATTTGAATTTATATGAGCTAAACATAAGCTCTCAACTCCATTAGATATAAGGTTTTCATAATCATTACCAATCATCATCATTTTATAATTTACCTGCTTATTAGAGCAATGACCAAACCATTATTTTTAGATTTTAAGTGAATGTTGTTGAAATAAACGCCCTTTTGTATTCTTGCATCAAATCCACGATTACGATGAGAATTACTAATAGTCCATTTTACTTATTGCAGTTGCTGTCCCAGGGGAAAGTTAACCATTTTTAGGTTCACACAAATCACCCATTGATGTTGCTGATACTTTAGTTTTTTCAAGATTAAAGCAATAGTGTTATATTCTTCTTTCATTTTTGTTGAGTGAGCAATTGGTATTGAACCAAATTTGTTTCTCATCTTTTCTAGGAGTCCTCTAAATTGTGACAAAATATAAGATCATCTTCTTGAGAGAAGAAGGGTAGCAGATCCAGTATTTCCAACCTCAGTATTTCAAACCTCATAAGTTATTAGCTCAAAAGAACTAGAGTAGTGAATATCAGTAAATTTAACATAATATTGGCTAATTTCTCAAATGGAATGCAGGGCCGACAACAGGGGTTTTGAAGTGGGGGGGGGGGGGTACAATCATCAACTTGTGAAAAAAATCCTCAATCAAAATTTTTCTTAAAAAAAATAGTGGACCCTAAATCGTTGGGGCATTGATATTTAGCAAGTATTTAAGACGGACCCAAAATCATTGGTGCATAAAAATAATGCTCCCTGCCCCCCCCCTCCCGTGTCGTTGGCCCTAGAATGAAACATTAACCAACTAAAAACGCTATAAATTTTCTTAGTTTATAAAGAGTAAAGAAACGTACAAAAAAGTACGCATGCAGTAAAACTACTAATTTAGGACCCGCCTCCTTTGAATGCACTGTTGTGCTTTTAATGAACTGCTTCCTCTGCGTATGTACGCACTATCCTTTACTAAACTTTTTTTCAAACGTTAAAAACAAAAAAACATTTAGTTAATTCGACATTTCTCTGTTACTTAAGCGTGGTATGAAATACATTTAAAATTTGAAAAGAGAAAGTTTAATAAAAAAGTATTCATATCTTGGAAATAAATGTCAGAAAACAAGCAAAATTCTCTAAGCAAACAAACTCAAAGTAAACTGGACAAAAACAAAACTTACTGCAATAAAGTTAAACCATTTTACTTTTTAAAATATATGTTAATACAAAACTTGTTTTTTGCGGACTTTAGTTAAGGGGGCGCCTGAAACACATGTATGTCTTACTCATGTGTTGTACTATAAAGAGTGGGATGTGTGTGTGTATAAGGTGATACTTTACGCCCCCATACTTATACGCCCCATATTTATGCATACACTCTTTTATGTTGTTAAACTTGGATCTTTATTTGCAAAATTAATTTTATGTTTTTTTTTTTGTTTTTTTTTATGTTGTTATTTATTCAAAAATATTTAGTTATTAACGAGTACTTTTTAACTTCGATATATTAAAAAAACAAACATTATCTATGATTATTTTTTTTTATTTTTTCGTATTTCTACTTTTATATTGATTACCTCCCACCTCCTTTACCCTCATACGCTTTTATACTCATTTTGCAGACCTTATTTTCCCTATGAGCGTACATATTTTATATGACGGCCCTTATTTTTTGTTTAATTTAAAAGGTGGTGTAGACGCATAAGATCCATAAAAGGAGGCAATTAGGGTAATTGTCCCCCTCTCATTTTCCTCAAACATCAAAAGAATTTTTTTTGTTAATTTATATAATTATTTTGTTTAAATTTGATATGAAATTTTAATAAAGATGTGTGGTACAAAATAATTATTAGACTCTTGGAAGATCAGCAGTGCAAAAAAATTATTGGACTGTTGGGATATCTGCTCACATATCATGAAAACCTTAAAATTGTCTTCCCTCTCCCCCTTCCTTAATAGTGTAAGAAACCAACAGAAACAATGAAGGAATAGTTTTAAAATAATTATAAAGCAATATGCAAATGAATAAAAAAATAAATCGGGAAGAGTGGGGAGAAGTGGGAAATTAAAAAATATTTCTTGCATAACTTTTAATGACTTTTATTATATAATATATGTTCTGAACTAAATAATTTTTACCGAAAAAAACATCATTTAGGGCACTGATTCCATCCCCTAAGATTGACAGCAAGTAATAATAAAGTATATATTTTTTTGATCAAGGTAAAGTGGGACAAGCGAGTAATTAACAACATAACAACAAGAACTATTATTAGAAAACTATTAAAATCATAAACCACGTAATCTTTATCAAAATATTCTAGAGATTTCCACAACATGACACAAAAGTGATGGAGGAGAAGTGAGAGATCAATTACAATTCTTTGTCCCACTTACCCTCTTAAAAAATTATTTTTTAAGTTTACTTTTTAAAAATCGGGTTTTTACCAGAAGCAAAGAAACAAATTAATGTTTGCTAAATAGGGGAAGAAATCTCATTATTTACATTATATTACAATGATAACTCTTTTAATTAAAATTTTCAGAATGTTGCACTCCTCCCGCATCTCACTTCTCCTCACGCTCCTCTATTTAATTTTATAAAATCTGTTAACAACAAATGTTAACAATGAGTTTATTAATTGTTAAACAATAAACAATTTGATAATTTTTAAAACATTTAGTTTCCTTTTTATGAATACACCAGTAAAGTATACAATTCTTAACAAACGTAAAAATTAAAAATAATTAGTAAAAAAAGATTAAATAAAGTAACTTAAGTAATTATTTTTTGTAACAACTGGTCTTCTTATCTAAAATTTACACTTTCCTTAAAATTTAACTTTAATAATCAATTGCAGAGGCAGATGAAGCATTTTTTGATCTTTGAGATCCATTTCTGGAAGCTAACTTCCAGAAATGGAGCAAAATTCAAACATTAGTATGTTTATACTTAAGTCAAATAAAGATGCTGTGCTAAAAATTGCAATAATTGGATCCTGGGAACAAAAAAAACCTTAAACTTTTGCCATTTCTGCCCCAAACATGAGAGCAACAAATTGATAAAAAAAATTTTTTTTTATTACTCGTAACTAAATTTGTATTCATCTATAAGTTTTAAATTTCAAAAAAAAATCTTTTAACGTTTAAAATTTTTTTATAAAGTTTGTAAAATTAATTGAAGGCAGTTCAAACTTTATATGGTCATAATTTTTATGTATATAAAAGTACTTTCTCGCTTTGATTGTTTTATAAACTTCAACAACTTAAAAATTTATAAAACTCAACATATTAAAATGAAAGTAAAAAATTGCTATTCTTTTTATTTTTATTCTATTATTATCGTTATTATCATTTTTGTAATTATTGTTATTATTACTTAATTATTATTGATATTATTATTTTTGTAATTATTATTATTCTTATAATAACTATAACTAAAATTAAAGTTGTAACAAAGAGTTGTTATAAAGAGTAAAGTTTGTATAATTTCTTTAGAGAGGTTAAACAAAAGAGTGTGTGTTGGTTTTATGAAACTACTGAAAAAAGATTTAAAAGGTTTGGTAGCTCAAAAGTACTTCGTGCTATTTATAAAGAAAATAATATAAGTAAGTTCTTTATTTATTTTTTGTTTCTAAATATTTTTCAAAATTCATATGGTTCATTGAGTTGTATGCTATTCGCTCATATGTTTTTCTATTTATTATTTAGATGAATTTATTTATTTTTTGTAATAGTTTGGTTTGTTTCATAAATATTTTTAGTTGATCCAAGAGTTATTACTTTATTGGCTTTGTGTAGAGAAATTCAACCTGCAAAGCGCATGTCATTTCGAGAAATGAGGCGCAAAGTTAGCTCATCAAACTTTATCACTGATAATAACTACCTTCCATCTATATCAGATCAAATTGAGTATCGAAAAGGAGATCAGCAGCTTAAAATGCAACCTACTTTGAGTTTAAAATCAACAGAGTCGCTAACAAATACTAATTATGGAACTGAAACTAGAAAGAATAATATTTTACATGTACCAGATGATTCCGCACCTGTTATCCATTTTACTTTGTACTCGCCAGTTTGTCCTTCTTAAACTTTAAGTAAGTTTTTTATGGTATAAGAAAAATAACATATTTTTAATGTAAATTACACAATTTTGCAACTTTCTAATTAAAAAATAACTGAAAAGTAATAAATTTTTAAATAACTGAAAACGTTTTCATATAAACACAAAATTAAGATGAAAAAAATTAGAATTTGAAATTAAAAAAATTGTTATAGTTGTGTAGCTGTTAAATGATTGAATTTATCAACTATAACAATTCATAGCCTATATATATATATATATATATATATATATATATATATATATATATATATATATATATATATATATATATGAAACTTAAATTGCTAGTTTAGATGAGCACTCTGGCGTCACACTGAAATTGCCTGCTGCCGGGGGCTTCAGTACATACATCGACATCGATTATCTGACAAATAGACTCAATCATCTGACAAAATGACTCGCATCATTTGACAAAATGAATCGCAGCGGAGCGCTGCATATAGATACATTGACTGAGGGTTTGGCATGGGGCAGCAATCTTTTCTTTCATTATTCTTCGTTTTTTTCTTCTTTTCAGATAAGTGAGCAAAATAGTGAGCAAATACTTTTATGCATTTATGTATGTATGCATGTATGTATGTATGTATGTATGTATGTATGTATGTATGTATGTATGTATGTATGTATGTATGTATGTATGTATATATGTATGTATGTATGTAGGTATGTATACGGTAAATCAAATTGTTATATAATTGATTTCTCAAGCTTTTTGTTTCTTTATGATTTTACAATTGAGTTTAATTAAGGTTAAAATGTTTATAGGGATTGTTAAGGATGAAATATTTGGTAAAAGCTTGTACCTTTAATAATAAAATTCTCACAGTATAATTGTCTACTGTGCTTACAAAAATAAATTTACAAAAATAAAGTGATATAAAAAAAGTTTAGTAACGAAGTTCTTGTATGCAGTAAATAAAATATAGGTATAAACTAAATAAATATAGGTACCAAGTAAAAAAGTCAGTTTAAGTTTAACGTTTAGGTATAAAGTAAACAAAAATGACAAAAATAAAAAAAAAAAATTTATTGAAAAAGTTCTGGAATTGAATAAATTCCCGTTTTTGAAATTTTCTTTGGTTCCTCAATAAAATGGATTGTTTCTGACTGGAGCAAAAAAATAGCTCTGCTGGTAGTGACCAATTCTAGTTAACTCAAGTTAACTAGAATTGGTCACTACAGTTTTTTTCATAATGGTAATTTCCGGCATATTTTTCCTAATTTTTTTAACTGCATAAAAGAAATTATTCAAAAGTTATTATAAAATTATTCAGTTGTTAATACATTAAATAATAATGGTTATTAAATTAATTAATTATTAGTTATAATTAACTAATTTTTTGTTTTATCAACATCAAGCTTTGCAAGTTTTTTTTTGCTTAATTCTGAATGATCTAAAGGTTCTATATGACTTTCTATGCTTAAACTTACATCTGGAAAAATTAGATTAGAAGTCTCAGTAATTCCAGTATTGGTACCTAGACCAGTTCCGTTCTCATAACATTTTTTGTCAGTTAATCTTTATGGGTCTAAAATAGGCAACATATAATGGCAGTTAGAGATGCGTAGAGTTTGCTGGTAATGCCAAAAATGCTATGTTATTGCTATGACATGCATCCAGTACTGCAATGCTCAAATGCGATATCTCCAATAATTACACTTTTTCCATGAGTCTTCTTAAGTCTTGGAAGCAGTAAATGAAAAATCAGTTCAAAACATGTTGAGTCAAATCAACTATATATTTTGATTTGTTGAAACGCGCTTTTGGGGGCCCATGTTCCATCCACGTATTCCATAATATTTCCGCTTTGTAAACAACGTATGGTGGTAGCAATTCATAATTAACATTACCACAAAACATTACAGAGAATAAGATTTTTGTAGAATTAATGACGCGTAATTTTTTTTTTACCTGGATCATCACAGAGATTGGTTTCGTCACAATTCTATATATTATCAGGTGATATATTCTTTCATTTGATAGATTTATATAGTAGAATCAATTACAGCCGTTACAACTTCTGCTCTCTTTCGCTTTATGTTGCTTGCAAATCTTACTGTGAATTCTGGATTTCTTTTTATAAAACCTCGAATTCAATCGTCACCTGGAAAATTATTTTTGAACCGAGGTGTAACGACGTCTTTTTTTGTCTAAATACCCTTTTACTATGCATCTTAAATCAAGTCGAACTCAGATGATTTTATTGCAAATGCTTTAAACATGTCATCTTTTTTTTATGTAAATATCTGCTGACCACCACATTTTTTAGGATATGTCTGTTTTATTTTGTTTTTTTAATGTTGACCTTGGTATATCGTATTTCAAAGCTGCTTGTCTTTGAGTAAACATTTTATAACCTTTCTAAAGTATAAGTAAAATTTTCTTCCACGATTTGACTTGTAATTGTAAGCGAGAGGTTCGGAGTTCGACTCCCACCATGTCCCTGGAAGTACCGCGCTCAACTTAATTTCTCCGCGCAGCGGCCTTGCTTGTAGAGGTTCGTGTTTCGGAGTTAAAGAGTTGAGAGAGGGTTGTACCACGATTTAGTACAAAAAAAAAAAAAAATTTCGTGACATATTTAAACTAAGAACGAAACAAATTTTACCATTCTTTTATACAGATTAAGCAACAAAATGTTTATTCCAACAGAGTAACTACCATAATATCCACGAATGATCACTGAAAAAAGTTTTTTTAATACATTGGGTAACTTTAGCCCTTGCGAATGTCACCCCATTTTGTGGGCCAAAGACAACTCATTTTTTTATAAACCTCATTAAACATCAAGCGGGATACTTTGCTGTACCGAATTTAAACCATTTAAAACAAAAAAATTTGCTAGAGCCAAAGTCTAAACCCCGTTTTACAGTAGTATTATACAACATAAGAATAGCTCACCAAAAAATTATTTCAACATTTTACTAAATTAATAACGCATAAATTAAATCAGACGTATTTGATGATTTACACATAAGAGAAAATATTTTTTACCTTTATACGATTATCATAAACTTTTTAACTATCATAAACGCCATTTACATTATAGTTTAAATAATAGTTTCGGGAACACAAAGTAGATTTGTCTTATTTTAGTATACTTCAAAGCCAGCTAAAGCTACACAAAAAAAGATTTGTTTTTAATATGTTCGTCATAAGTATGATTGCATTGCAAAGTGTGGGTGAAATTCTTAATTATAATAGCGCGAGACGTTCCCAATTATTCCCATAATTATATCATTAGGTGTTTATGGTATTCTTACTTCTTATAAATATATTATAATCAATACGTTAAGCTCTTAATTATAAATTTTATGATGAGCTGCTAATGTTAACCTCGTAGTTAACATACAGTTGCTAGTTATTATGTTTCTTACTTAAAATAATTTATGTTTTAAATCAATTTTCTTTTAGAGTAGATTTGGTGAAAGATGTATGACAAAAGACGATATAGCAGATTTTATTTATTTTAAATATAGAAAAAGGAAACTCGAGATTACAGATTTTCCAAATTTCTACTTATTCTTTTGGTTTCTATCTTTATAGCTTTAACGTATTTGGCTCCTTTTTATTTATTTCCGATTTAAAATGTAGTAAATATTTATATTTGCATTTTAGCAAGTGAAAAATTGTAATTTAAAAATATGGTGCGCTATTATCTTAAATCAAATGTTAATATTTTTAATGTATAAAGACTTTTTCTTAAAGCTGTTATTCCTAATGCTTTTCCCTTAAAAGCCGGGTTGTTGTAATGCACTTCCGAATATTTATTTCTTGTCGGGGGCCTTTTTTGATATATATATATATATATACATATATATATATATATATATATATATATATATATATATATATGTATATATATTTAGTTCTTAAGTTTTAAACTTTAAAATTAATTCTTTCTTTACCGTAATTGGCGACCGCGTTTTAGCGAACAAAAAACAAAAATAATTTCTACTCGGTATAACTTAAAATAAGATTTTAGAAACTATATTTATCTATTTATAGATTTTTTTGAGATTAGGTAAAAACTCGTTAAAAGAAACAGCTATACTATTTATAAAAATTACACTAGGTTTAATTTTGTGTGGTAAATTTTAAAACAATCATAAATATGTAGACTGACGGACATGTTTTACAAACAAGTAATCTTCAAAGGTTTTCCTTTGCTTGTACGAAAACCCTCTTGCATAACATACCCAAAAAATTTTTGATGGACGTTTGTCTTTGACATTTTCGAAAGACTGTCTAATATCTGGGTAGTGTTTTCCTGTTAATCTATGTAAAATATCATCTGGTACCAAGTTTTTATTAAACTTTGGTGATGATAGCAAAAGTTGGGCAATTGTGTCATGCATAAAGTAAAGAAACGTAACATTCCTCTAATTGGTTATGTTTAACATATACTTTATGCACATTTAAAACAGCTCGAGTTATTAGTCGCAGTGCTACTTTTTGCTCATTTACGATACCTTTTATAAGATTTTCTCAGTGTCTGAATACTGGAAAGTTGCTGATCAACATGTTCTACGCCACCCATATGACTATTGAATGGTTTAATAACAGCAGGTTTTTCAATGTTGTCTCCATATTGATTTTTACATGTTTGAACAGATGGTTGATGGCAAGTTGTTAGCATATAAACAACTTTTTATTTGCGAGATATTATATCTTTTAGATTACGGTATTTACACGCAACTTAACTAAATTCTTTGTTTACATAAAAAACAGATCCCTACGTTGCAAGATTTCTGTCGCAATTTCTTTTGAATATTTTTTTCAGTTTGGTCGTACTGTTCTACATAAATGAGAGTTGTTATCCAAGAAATACTTGGCTAATGTTGGACTGGTATAATAATTATCTGTAAACAAAACATGACATTTTCCTAGAAAATCTTACATCAACACAGAAGATATCCTCTCTGCGGAAGGCATGGTGTTATTACCTTCGGAATTCTATAAAACAATTCGCGAAATAGTATTTAATTAAAAAGTTTACACCTCCTTACCGATCACTATATATGATGAATTAAGCGTCTTTCAAAATTTTTTATTTTTATTTTTGTTTTTTTCTTCTTTTAAAAATTCATATGAAAATCATTATGCAATAATAAGTTATACAATCTGTGACTTAGCGAGGATTGTCAAGCAATTCTTTTTTTTTTTTTAATTTACATTTTCACAACTATATATTAGTTACAATTTTTTCACATCGTAATATAAGCAAAATATAGATCCGTTACAAAAAAGATTATATTTAACCAAATACTGCTAAAATACACTTAACATAAAAAATAACACTCAGTTAAAAATGAAGAAAAAATTGAAAAAAATAAAAAAAATAAAAATAAAATAATTTTAAATTTAGGAAGCATTAGTTGAATATATTATGAAGGACTTATTATATTGCTATAGGGAACTCGTAGAAGACTGAATAAGTCTTCTACGAGTTCATCGAGAATTTATCAAGAAATCATCAAGAACCTTGATGAACCTTCGAGAAAACATTGAGAACCATTGATGAACCTTCGAGCAATCATCGAGAAACATCAGTGAACCTTCTACAAGTTCATCGAGAAATCATCGAGAACCTTGGTGTATTATGCAAGATACACATAAACATTATGATTCTAATGCACAAATATTTTAAATATTACTGTGATAAAATTTTGATTTGTTTTTTCTAGTTGTATTATGATTTGTGTGTGTGTTTTTTTAATGTTTATATATATATATATATATATATATATATATATATATATATATATATATATATATATATATATATATATATATATATATATATATATATATATATATATATATATATATACATATATATATATATATATATATATATATATATATATATATATATATATATATATATATATATATATATATATATATATATATATACAGGGTTGTACCGAGCCAACTTTGCGCTAAGGGCAAGAAAGGGCCCCTCCGCCCCTCCCCCTCCCATCCAAAAAAAAAATTAAAATCAAAAAAGGATTTATTGATCACAAAATTTATCATATCAAGTGTAAACTACAATTGAACCTGTCATTTCAAAAAGGACACAAGTCCAAAACTTTTAACAGTCAGTTTATAAACTTAAATTAAAAATTTCTGTTTGTTTAATTTTTTTTTATAAAAAATAAAAGTTACATAAGTTAGATACGTTCTTTATTTATCTACTTCTATGTTTAGTTTCTTTACCAGCGTAGACATTATTTTAATAAAAATCATGTTTTTGTTGATTTTGAAAAGTTTTAATAAATGGACTTGTGCCCTTTTTGAAATGACAAGTTCAATTTGTCATGAATACTGCACAAACTTCAGTTCAAATTCACTTTTCTAGCTTTTTTGGATGCAAATTCACTAATGATGTTATCAAAATCAAGGTTGTCAACCACTTTATGTTCAATTGAAACTATAGCCAGATTAGACAAACGTTCTTGGCCCTTAGTTGATCTCATGTAGTTTTTTAGAAGCTTAAGTTGACTGAAACTTCTTTCAAATGTAGCAACTGTGACTGGTATGGTGAGGAAGATGCGAATAGCAATTGCCGTGTTAGGATAAGCATCAGTCAATGAATATTTATAATTGAGCTGCAAAATGTCAATTGGGCTAGATTTTTCAAAATTGTCCATCATTGCAGCAGCTTGATATTTAAAACATTTCTTACTGAAAATCAGAAGAATCTTAATCAGTATAAATTTGAGATGAGTTTTTGGCTTTTGTCTTAAGTTCATCCACTAAACTTTTAGATAGTAAATGCCCACAGAGGAACTCAAAATCAGAGGATACAGCAGACATAGGCTCAAACCGCCATTCAATTTGTGTAATAATGCTGTCAAACACAAGATTGCATTGTGATTCGAAATCTGTTTCTGCTGTGAGTAGGTGAAAGTCACCTTCAACTTCATAAAGTGCCATCCTCTTTACTTTGCGCTTTCTCTTGACTGGAAAATCACCTTCAATTCCATTCTGTTTGGCTGTTTCTGCGGCATCTTTGATAATTTTGTCCACACCAACATCTCTCAAGTTCTCAATGAAAGCCTTCAATGCTTTCATTTTTTTGCCGCGATGTCAATTGAAACATTTTTATACTAAAGCAATTTGTTTTCCCGGTCAATTAGTGAAAGAATTTGACACCAAAAATCCAACAAACACAAAAAACTGAAATCAATTTGAATGATAAGATCTTTTGCACTGAATATTGTGACATCATTTGTCATGGGATTGTAAATAATAGATTTCAAAACTTGAAGATCTTATTTTATTTGTTTGTGCAATGGTGTGATTGCTTCTTTTTTGGCAGACCATCTTGTGTCACTTTCCATTTAAAACTTAAAAAAAAATTAAAGATGGCTTGAACTTTTCCAAAAAATGTAATCATGAGTGGGGAAACCTCAACAGCATGAACACCAACAAAATTTAAAGTGTGAGCTGCAAAAGGAACAAATCTTACTGACTCACAAAGAGAATGGATGTGAGCTTAGACGCCATTGTATTTTCCAGACATATTGGCTTCATTATCATAACCTTGGCCGCGGCAATCAGAAATCTTTAGAATGTCTTTCTCTAATTTTTCAGTGATCTCTGTTGCAAGACTTTTTTCGGTTTTTGATGAAATTCAATGAAGTCAACAAAGCTTTCCTTAATTGCACAGGTTTCATCATTGATGTGGACAGATCTAATTATTTGGGTCATCTGCTCTTTATGGGAGGAATCTGAAGTCCAGTCAAACAAAACAGTAGTATTTAGCTTCTTTGATGTTTGACAATACTTCATTTCTGACTTTCTACCCAAGTAACTCAATCAACTCATTTTGTATTCAAAGAGAAAAGGAGGACGTTGTAGTTATTACTTTGCTTTAACAGATGCAATATGTTCAGCCACTAAAGGATAATAATTGCTTATCAGCTCAATCAAGTTCAGAAAAATGCCACCGTTTTGTTGACCGATGACGCCTGTTGTGCCCCAAAGGAAAAGATTGTTCCTGGCACAGAACAAAATTACATCAACAATCACTTTATAGATGTCTCTCCACTTTTTCATTTCTCCATTGATAACTCTCTGCAGGTCAAAATCCATGGTGTTTCCTTCTTTGAGGTTTTTTTCTAGAGTTTCCTAATCAGAATAGCATCTTTGGTGTTCATTACTGTTTTCTTAACTTTTATTAACTTTAATACTAATATCCTCTGAAATAAATTGTTTTTCCGCTGCAGAGTTAGTTACCAACCACTTCTTGAAACAATTTTGTAGTTTCTTATCACTTTCAAAGCGCTGATTTTCTTTTTAAATTGAGCGCCAGATTATTTTTTGGTGCGATTCATTATAGAAACCTAATGTTCACTATAGTTGATAGACATAAATGCTTTAACTAAGTTTTAAAACCCAATAATAATAATATATATATATTATATATATATATATATTTTATATATATATATATATATATATATATATATATATATATATATATATATATATATATATATATATATATATATATATATATATATATATATATATATATATATATATATATATATATATATATATATATATATATAAATCCGACTTTTTTAACATTGTAGATTGTTTTAGTTAAAATTTTGATTTATCATGTGAACTAGAACAATTCTATGTACTTATCTATATTAAGAACAAGATTTTTAAGAAAATATATTGTCAGGACGTGTAATTATAGTGTATTTCGAAATCAATTTGTTATATAAAAAGGGGCCGCCATAAGAGACAGAGAATTGAGAGTTTTTTGTTTTTTTGGGGTACGATAAAGTTACCAACTTATCGGTAATTGAATAAGTTAAACTTATTGGTAATTGAATAAAAGAAGTTTTCTGTAAATCGTGAAAAAACTAATTCCATTTTATATTTTAGCACAAATAGTATATTAGCATAGATATTAATTAGATACACAGCAAAATCCAAGATTCTAGGTTAAGAACTTTTGTACTTATTTTAAGAACTTTTGTTTTTATTTTAAGAACTTGATTCTTATTTTAAGAACCTGATTCTTATTTTAAGAACCTGATTCTTATTTTAAGAACTTGATTCTTATTTTAAGAACCTGATTCTTATTTTAAGAACTTGATTCTTGTTTTAAGAATTGGATTCTTATTTTAAGAACTTGATTCTTATTTTAGATTTCCATTCTTATTTAAAGATATTTCAATAAAAAACATTGTTCCTAATTTTATAATATTGTAACATTTTTCTGCCTACCCCTCGCCCCAAACTGTCATTAGTTGAGAAGATTCGACCACATAGAAACCTAATGGCAATGATTCAGAAGCAATTAAAGTTGATGTTGCTGAAATAATTGTTAGTGATACTGCATTTTTCTGGTATTTTAAATGCTTTGCACTTTTTTTATGACTTTTGACTGCCATTATTACTATATTACTAAAATGTCTTTCCGCATACACTACACATACCCTTAGTTTCATCATCAGCTCTCCGAAGCCAACCCCATGATGGATGTCATTCAAGATTGATCTAGTCATTATCAAAGTAAGTTATTTTGCACATTTTTATTATTTATAAGATATTTACCTGGAAAAAATTAGCATTATATTAACATAGTTAAAATCATAGTTTTAAATATATTTTAAAGATATGCAACAAACTTTAGGTCATATTTTATTTTTCTATGCGATTTTATGAATGTATAGCAAAATGAGTATAAATTTTTCATTTGATTAATGGTTGTGTGGGAGTTTATAAAAAACATTTAAAAGTTTTGAGAAAAAAGGTTATTTTCCCAGACTATTTTTTTAAAAAAAATAAATTGAAAATCCATGACCAGAAAAAATTTCTCTGACTTTTCCCTGATTTCTAGTTGGCTGACCACCCTGTCAAATATCCCTTAAGATCATTTTTGATTTTAAGCATAAATCTGACAATCGATGAGTTTTCAAAGTCTGTTAACTGAATGATCAGCAATTGTTCACACGCAAAGTCTTCAGAATCATTTTATTTTTTAATTTCTGATGTAATAACCAGAAGCATAAAATCTTATTAGCAGCCAAAAATATATCATGCTTATCGGACATGATGTTCCGGAAAAATGAAAATTTTTTAAAGTTTGTTTTTAATGCGGCGGATCAGATCAAACTTGGTTTAGTACGTGAAAACGGATGAACTCGCGAGACTATGGGTGGAGTGCAAGAAGCGAACTTGAGTCAAGCTCGACTTGAACTTTACATTGCAACCAATAGCCACAGAGTACGGGTTTTCCCCTCAAAAAATACTCTGCCGCTATTGGTTACATAGTAAAGTTCAAGTCAAACTTGACTCAAGTTTGCTTCTTGCATCCCACCCTATTTATGGCCTAATTTAATATAATAAATAATTAGCATATCCAGATAAAAAGTGTCTAGCGTAAAAAACTGTATCTGGGCTGTTAGGTATTTTTTTTTTGCGGAATAGCTTTTTCCTAATGACTATAATTTTCTTTTTCAGAAGAAAGCCAGAAACCGTTTTTTATTTTGATTATGAAAAATACCGTTACAGTTCGCCATACATTTTTAGATTATACTTTTTTTTAAATATATTATAATTATCATCTATAAAATAGATAATAATATACTTTGCTAGCAATTACTGATACAAAAATAATTTTAAATTACTGTAAACTCCTTGCTCCAAATTTACTGTGAAACACGCAATCAATAAATTGAGCCAAAAGTTCAAAAAGCATTATTAAACGATTTCGCATACTTTAATACATAATGAATGAATTGTTTAAATATTATTATTGAAAGAAAATTTAGAGACTTTATTGAAGAGTGAAAACATAAAAAGATACCAAAATTGATACTTGATACCTACAGTCGTGTGCAGTAAAATAGTAGTGCGTATTTTATTTTTCTATCAACAAACTTTGATCATCAAAGTATATTTTTCTATTGTTTGTTTTTTATCGTTATTGTTCATAAACTAAATGTTGTGATTATAATAGTATAAAAAAAATTTAAGAAAGATAATTGCAGCACTGTATTGTTTTAAATTTTTAATATTATCGATTGAAGGTCATTCGTATTTTTTTTTTAGACTGTGCAATAAAATAGAAGTGAAAAATTAATTTTTGTGTAATAATTGCTGTACTTATTAAATTCTAATTATTATTAGTTCTTAATAATAAGCAATAAGTAACTAATTAATTTTGATATTAGATAAATTTATACACTTACTAAAATTTTGAAAATTTAGAGAAACATGGGGCGCTCTAAGCATTGTACTGAAGAAGTTCGTAATTTAATTATAAATCTTAAAAATCATGGTAAAGCCTACAAACAAATATAAGAATTGGTTGGATGCTTACCAACAATGATTTGTAATGCTTTAAAATAGATACCCAAACCAGAAAAACGTGGGAATAAAAGATCAACTACCGCTATAGAAGATCGTCAAATTGTATCGTTAGCGAAAAAGGAGCCATTTATTACTTCTAGAAAAATTAAAGAAAGGCTAGAATTAAATGTTAATACCTCAACTATTCGAAGACGATTAACACATGCCAATTTAAATGCAAGAACACTTAGAAAAGTGCCACTTTTGAGTAAAAGACATATCGAAAATCGTTAAAATTTGCACGTATGCATGCTTCTTGGCCTAAAGAAAAAATGGCGAAATGTTTTGTGGACTGATAAAAGCAAAATTGAAATTTTTGGTTCCTATGTTTGTAAACAGTATGTTAGAAGACCAACGGGTGCAGCATATAAGCCACAATTTACATTAAAGACCGTCAAACATGGAGGTTCAAAAGTAATGATATGGGGTTGTATTTCTTACTATGGTCTTGGGCCGATACATCGCATAGAAAGTGGATCATGGATCGGTTTGTATATGTACAAATACTTGAAAAGATCGTGCTGCCTTATGCTGAAGAAATGCCGTTAAAATTTTTGTTCCAGAAGGATAATGATCCTAAACATACGAGCAAGTTAGCCATATTGTGGTTTAATGAGAACAAAGTCGATGTGATGGAGTGGCGAGCACAATCCCCCAACTTCAATCCGATTGAAAACTTTTGAATTGATATTAAACAAGCAGTTTCTGAAAATAATCCAAGAGGTTGTAATCAATTGTGGGACGTAGTACAGTCAGCATGGCAAAATATATCTGTCGAACGATGTCAGAATCTTATTAATTCCATGCAACAAAGATGCTTGGCGGTTACTACAAATAAAGATCATGCCACAAAATACAAATGTAGAGTTTCAAAATAAATTTTTTTTTGTAATAAAATTTAATTATTTTTTGACCTTTTCATAAAAAATGATTTCACTACTATTTTATTGCACAGCCTAAAAAAAAATACGAATGACCTTCAATCGATAATATTGAAATTTAAAACCATTCAGTGCTGCAATTATCTTTCTTAAATTTTTTTTATACTATTATAATCACAACATTTAGTTAATGAACAATAACGATAAAAAACAAACAATAGAAAAATATATTTTGATGTTCAAAGTTTGTTGATAGAAAAATAAAATACGCACTACTATTTTACTTCACACGACTGTAGTTTCAAATGAACAGAAGCCAAAATTTGCAAATGGAATGATTTGAACAACAACAAAAACTTTAAATAACATATTTTAAGAGACACAAGTAGCATTGGTTATTTTAAATACGTGGTCAAACAAAAAAGTATTGATTTAAAATCGTCACCTACGATCATTTAATTTATTTAAAGGTTTAAAACGTTTTACACTTTTTGAGGGTTTGAATCCGTGACTGCCAGTACCGTATACGGTAGCACCGTTCCTCTTTTGTAGCTTATTACTGTTACTTGCATGGACACCTGTAATGACGATAAAGTAAAAACAAGGTTAATTCAGGCAATATTATCAAAAAAAAGTTAATTTACAAACCATTATTTATTAATATTAAGTTATTATATTTAATATTAAAAAACAACAATAAATAATTATACAAAATATTATTCAATTGCAGAAAAGAATAAGTATAGTATAAAATAATATATTTATAATTACATAATATAAAACGGATTTGTGAGTGAGAGCGATTTGTGAGTGATTTTGAGTTGAGAGAAATCAAAGAAAGTAAACGATTAACAGATCTTTCTATGGTATAAAATCTCTAAAAATGATTTTCGAAACATCGCAACTACATGGCAATTAAGAACACATAAGAGTATTTGATTCTATTATCAGAAAGCTCTCAACTCAAGCTACTGCATGTACTGTTATGTTCGCGCTGCCAGATCAAAAGAAATAACAGATCTTTATATCATCCTAAGCCTTAAACTTAACATCGTTAGGGATCGGATCGTCCATAAAGTACGTTCGCTCGGAGAGAAAGAGAGGATTGCGCTCCACTTGGAGAGAAAAAATGTAGGTACGCTCGGAGAAAAAATGGCGTTTTTGAGATGGGGGGCAGTAGGTCAATTATAAAAGTATGGAGACACTAAATTAAAAAAAATATCATAAAATGTTGGCTTTATAGGTTAAAAGCGTAGTTACTTTTAGGAAGGTAAAGGGTGCTCAAAAAAGCGTATGGGGTGGGGGGTCCGCAAAAAAAAAGCGTACGTACTTTAAGGACGATTCCATCGATGCATAGAAGAAAATTCAACAGAAAACAATTTTTTTAAGATCAATCGACTAAAACAATTGCTTACATCTCGTAGAAAGCTTCTTGCTACATCCAGCAGGTATGCGTTGGGAATGACACTAGTTCCTCCTTTAAATTTTTTATATTTTAACTTGAGAAAATAAGAAGCCCTTAGAAGTTTAAACACCTCATAAAAATATGTTGTAATCAAGAATATACTTAAGTTTATTGACAACAGGCTTTAGTATGAAACTATTATCAGGGTTGTTGGAAGTCTTTGAGGAATTTATGCACGACTGTTTAGCCATTGGTATTGAATGATGAATGAATGATTCAAGTACCTTACTATGTTCGTGAAACTATTTTGTTGAATTAAACTTTAAACAGACTTAGAAACTATGTTATCTATTAAAGAATTGTTACCTATTACTTTATATTATTGTCACCTATTATTTTTAAAATAACAAAGCTAAAGATTGCCAATAGTAAAACTAGCTATACTCTTGGATAATTTTTATTTTCATTATTTACTGTTATAAATAATAATACTTATGATATAAACATTTTTAGTCAAAGAGAAATATTTATAAACTAAACATTTAAATAATAGAATATTACATTGAAATTTGAATCATTATTTAAATTTTGTATTGAAAAAAAAAGTTTAACTTTGATTAGCGAATCAAAATTAAACTAATAAGTTTAAAGAAATTTTTCAAAGCTCTCATTTCTTTAAGATACTATACAGAGTAGTTAAGAGTTCTTTTAAATGGTTTAAGTAAAATTTAAATATAGCTCGTATTAAGTTTGTATATAAAAAAGATTTTTAATAATTATTATTTTTTTTTTTACAAAACATATAAGCCTAAAGACCATTTTAATTATCAACAAACAGAGAATTTTATGAAAATCTACTTACTCAAGTTTACATTTGGTGGAACAGTAAAACCAAATGAAAGTCCTACTTTTTGCAAGTCAATGGTATTCACGTTAAAAATATTACGGTGCTGATGAGAAGCATAGGCTTGTAAATAAGAACGATACCCATCTTTTGCAGATTTATTTAAAAAGTAATTCTTTGATATAAGTTTTTCCAACTATTGAAAAACAATATTGACATTAACCTCTATTTTTTTTAAATTTTATTTAAAAAAAAAGTAACCTAATTTAACCTGTGATTGTATGTTAGATATTTTGGCCTTTGAAAAATCGTATTCATTTAATGGAACCTAAAAATCAAATTTTAAAAATTGAAAATTTCTTTTTACCATTTTAATGATACTACTTAGAATATTTTACAAACAAAAAAGTAACACTTAAATTTAATAAAAGTTAAAAAAATTTGGAAACCTTTGCATGTTTTAGATAACGTAAAAATCCTAGTTCCTCTGGAAGTAAAAATAACAAAGCATGACCACGACCTTGAGATCCACGAGCTGTTCGACCAACCCTGTGTATATACTCCTATAAATAAAATAAATTCATGAAAATGTTCTTTATGCTAATGTTTCTTATTTAAACATAACCCTTTTTGTAAAAGCTTCCTCAAAACCCATTTTGAAAAAATAAGCATTAATTAATTAAAACCTATTGTAACACTATAATTAAAATGTTAGCAAAATTTTTTAATGATTGGGAAAAATGTCAAATAAATTAGCAGCCCCAAATAAACCTCCATAATAATAGCCTTCACAATAAACCTGCTTCCAATAAACTCCCTCTATAAAATTGCTTTTAAAAAAGTCTATTTAAAAAAACTATATTTGAAATATGCAAATTAATTTTTTAAAAAATTCTTATTTATTAAGGGTATACTTGTGAGACTTTTATGTAATTATCAAAAGAACAAACAAAACATTTAAGTTCATAAAAAAATTATTTCATAGTCTAATGTGCATTGTTTCATTTATTACTTATTTCTTTTATGTTAAATATTTTTCTTTATATTTGTGTTATAAAAATATTTTTCTTTATATTTGTGTTTAATATAATTTATAGATGGCACCTCAAAAATTAAGCAAATCAGAAGGGAAATCCTTTTGAATACTTTAGAAAGTACTTTTCTAAATGATAATCTTTTTATTTTTTTAAAAAAGTAAACCTAATTGACCTTTTGCCAGATAAAGACGCCATTATAAAACGCATTGCATTCTGGGATCGCCTGGGAGCAAACAAACTTGATAGATATATAATTCTATGCGAATATCCAGCGATTATTGCATTAGCCTAGATTATTATTCTTATTTATTGGTTTTAATATGGTTTTTACTTCAGTAGATTTGTCAAAGTGGAAAATAGATGAGTTAAAAACGTATTTATTATCAAGAGGTGTCCCACTTGGTTCAGGAAGTGCACGAAAAGCACTTTTGATAGAAAAAGTTATCATGGCAGAAGCTTTAAACCTACCATTGTTACCTACCACTGATAACCGTATTAATGAAATAAATAACAGTCGAAGAAGGAAGTTAGTAGTTGACGATGTTTTACATCTTCCATTTCCTGAAGATTTAAAAAGTAACTGGCAAAGTGGAAGTCAATATCTTCCTAATGCGACTTTAGAAGTCATTAAAGAATATGCTACAAATAAGAGTGCAATGAAGGCATTTAGAGAAGGAAAAAACTTGCAATATTCTGGGCATGTTAAAGATGTCGCCTTTAATAACATTGTTGACAGTATTCGGTATTGTTACGTTAGAGCTACTGTTGTTCCTCAGACAAGAATAAACGAAAATCCATATTTAGTTTGGGTATGTTTTTATGGTTCAGAATATGTTTTTACTGCTGAGTGTTCGTGTATTGCAGGTTTCAGTTCATCTTGTAAGCATGTCTTTAGTTTATTGCATTATATTGAGAATGAAGTCAGGTTAGGCCATAATAAAACATGTACTGGCAAAAAACAACAATGGGATGTACGAATTGAAAAGCGCCAAAAAATACATGAACCATGTGAAATAAATTCAGTTATTTTTAGGCGACCACATCCTGAAAATGATGATGTTGAACCTGGTCCAAGTAGAAACTGATATGAACCTCGATCACGAACAGACATTAATGTCACATATTCAACTGAAGACTGGGAGAATATTGCTAAAGCTACCAACGGTAATGCAAGTGTTTTGCAGTTTAAAAAAACAAGTTTTTATAAGTTAGATATTGATTTTACAATTGCTACAGAATATCCTAAAACAATTGATGAAATAGTTTGTATAACCGATATGAATTTGTTTCACTATAAATTAAAAACCTATCGAACAAATTCTGATATAAAAAAAATTTGCAGTATAACAATAGACCAGTCATATTCTATTAATTGGTTTAAATATAGAAATGGTGTTATTACATCATCAGTATCCCATGAGGTAATTCAGAAAGTTAGTGATAGGCAAACAATTACAAACCCAACATCCTCTTTTAATTTATGTGCAAAGATTTGTGAACAAATTGAAACTATTTCCAGTAGTGCGCTATCATGGGGACGAAGCAATGAAGAATTTGCTGTCAAACGTTATGTTAGAAAAAACAAAAATTTACATAAAAATTTTAGTTGTGACATAGCAGGCTTGACAATATGTTCTGAGTATCCATTTCTGGGTGCAAGTCCTGATAGAATTATAAATTGTACTTGTTGTGGATTTGGTTTGTTAGAATGCAAATGTCCTTTTTCAGCAAGAGATAAAACTATTTCAGAATACCTTTCAATGTCTTCTTGTTTTATAGTAAAAAGTAATGAAAGTTTTGCAATCAAACTTAATCACCCTTATTACACCCAAGTTCAGCACCAAATATTTGTTACAGGTGCCAATTATTGTGACTTTGAAATTTATTTACCCAAAGAATCTTGCACATTTCGTATTGCTAAAGATCCAAATTTCTTATTAAAGTGCCTACCAAAATTAGTTACATATTTTAACGATGTTATGCTTCCATATTTATATAACATAAATTTTGTGAGAACCACCTACACCTGCAGTAAAGTCATCCAAAGCCTTGTTTCACAAGTTGAAAAGGTAGAAAAGCAAAATACAGCAGCATTACAACTAAAACAATTATCAGATAATTACCAAATGCTGTCCAAAGACTCACCACCATCTTGTAAAAGAAAACTGTAGAAAACTATATAAAATTAATATATATATATATATATATATATATATATATATATATATATATATATATATATATATAATAATAAAATATAAATAAATAAAAAGAATAAAATAAAAAATAAAATAAAAATATGTAATATATATAAAATAAACAGAATAGAAAATAATATGTATGTATGTATGTATATATATATATATATATATATATATATATATATATATATATATATATATATATATATATATATATATATATATATATATATATAAAATAATTAAATGAAAAAAATAAAATAAAAAGAATAAAATTAAAAATAAAATAAAAATATGTAATATATATAAAATAAACAGAATAGAAAATAATATGTATGTATATATATATATATATATATATATATATATATATATATATATATATATATATATATATATAATGTTATTCTATTCTACAAATAGAGTGCTCAATGTTCTTAAAAAACAGCAATAATAAATTAGAAAAAAACACTTATCCACTTATCTAATATTTTTCTTTAACAAATTGTAAAAAAAATAGAAATAAATATATTTAAAAAACAAAATAAATAGTATAAAATAAAATGATTTAAAAAAAATAAAATTTAAACTAAATAAACAACTAATGATAAACAAAAATTATACATTTTCATGTTTGATTTTTTTAAATCTAATTCACTACCAACAACGATGTAAGCACCACTATTTCAGTGAAGAGTTTCAGAAAACAAAGAGAAAGCGGTTGAATGAAGACTGTGCAAAGAAAAAAACTAGAGGAATAAAAGTTTTTAGAGCATGAAGAAATAGATACTGTAAAATTATCTGTTTACTGTACGGATACTGATGATGCAATAAGACAATTTCTATATTTAAACCAAGTGACTTTGCTGAATGAAAAATCACGCATAATTAAAAAAAAAATTTGGTTCATGGAACAATAGTATTTTAAAAAAGAGAAAGAGATGCAATATTACAACCATGGGACACAGGGTCAAGCTTAGAAAGTAACAGGTCCAACTTTATTTATAATAAGTTTTGTGGTTTAAAAGAATGGGCATCATTAGAAGAATTAGCCCAAATGTGACAACAGTATGTCATACATGGTTAATTAAGTTTGAACTAGCCCAAATGTGGCAACAGTATTCCATACAGGGACAATTAAATTTGTAGGAATCAGGAGTGAGAAAATGGTGAGCATTTTAATGAATAACAGGAGTGAGAAAATGGTGAGCATTTTAATGAATAACAACCTTAGCCGATGCTAACTTTGGAATTCTTTATAAGAATTCCAAAGTTAGTTTCCACAAGAGAAAAAGTTTCCACAAGAGGTGGTTGCAAAAAAGTAATCCAAGAAGGCGTAAAGTAGAAGACTCTATAGGAGTGTTACCATTTATCAATATAGGAATATCAACAACAGTGATAATTATTAGCAGCACACTATTATATAGTTTTTTATTTATTTTTAATGTCAATTTATATCTGTGATTGTTTAATAAATTAGAATTTTTTTACTTGGCATAATATCTTTATTTTTTATTTTTTAATACAAACTTTGACATTGTTAAACTTTTATATACCTAGACACTTTTATCACATGCAGGGATTAGGGAAACGTCAGGGATTTCAGATGTCTGCAAAAAAAACAAAAACAAAAAAGAACTATCAGGGAAATAGGGTTGAATTTAGGAAAAATCAAGGTAATCTCAGGGGAAATAGCTAAATAGATAAGACTGACGGATGTCTGGCCGGCTAGACATCTATCATTTTGTACATAATGTGGGCAGATGACCTATTATTATTTTTAATTATTATGACCTATAAATTTGGTTGCAATAACATAACGTTTTTCTAAAAAAAAATCAAGTGCTTTTTTTTTTGAAATTGATATTTTGACTAATAATTAAATCATGGAAACAGGTCAAATTCAGGGAAATAAAACATGACATACGCGTCCTCAGCAGTGCTGAAAACGCATTGCACCTGCGTAGTGCTGAGTCAGCACTATGCAGGTGCAATCGCACTGTGACCTAAACTCAAGGGTCCCCTCAGTATTAAAAAAATACTAGTACTAGAAGCTGCAAAATGTATTCGCGTTAGCAAGGATTATAGTTATTGGGTTAAATAGTGACGGATCCAAGGTATATACAGTTTAAGGCTGACGACACGGATTTCGAAGTGGAGGGACGGGGGTCATGATCATCAACTTGTAAAAAAAGTCCTCCATATCAAAATTTTTAAAAAAGAAAAAAAAAAGTCTTTTATCAAAAAAGTGGGGTTCACACCCACCCAAACTTCCTACACTCGGTGTAGTTAAGGCAATTTACAAATTATTCGAATACTTTTATT